GCAATTTTGCGAACTAAATTTGGACCGTTAAATGACAGTCGAGTGATTTTGTCAAAATTTCATGAGCGAAAATTGTCAAAAGGCAATAAACTTGAATAAAACCAGAAGAAAATTTTGCTAATAAATAATTTTCTCTCGAATGATATTCGACAAGACTATTTCACGAGGCAATTAATGTACCATATCAACGAAACATAATCTTTATTTATTTGTTAACAATATTAAATGTACAATTATTATAAGCTATAATAGTTTGCCAATTCTTTTCTACCAAAGCATGATTTTTTACATTATTGACCTAGAGCATTTGGGAACTTGAAGGTCCCTTTTTTGTTCCGAGATTTTCGATCAACTTCTGGTGGTGACTGGAATCCAGCTTCAGATACGGTTTTAGAGAGCTTGCATTTAAGTGACCCGTTAATTTAAGTAACTCCTGTTCAGAAACACCTTGCTTGAACAAGGCTGACACAACTGAAGATCGATGAGAATGGTTTGTTATTTTATGTTTTTTGTGTCTATTCCAATTTTTTCAGCTGACATTTTTATCCACTTAGATACGGTCTTGATTCCAAGTGGACAGTTTTTAAACCAAGATCCATCCTTTCAGTTGGGGTGAACCTTAAGAAAGAGTGTCTGATAAAATCTTTGGTCCACTTTTTTCCATTAATTTAAAAAATAATCCAACTGGGCATAAATTTTCGTTTGATGAATTTCAATCCAGCAATTTGCTGTTTACCAAACTTTTCGAACTGCCTTGATTTGCTTTGGAAAAAATATGCTGTTGTATTCAATTCGGCCCGTCAATTCTTGCATAACATCAAATTTTTTCTGGAAAAAGTAATTCTTCCAGTTTACGACCTCATTGCCTCTCCAAGCAAGTTCAAATGAGCAAAGGTGAAAAATCCACTCTTTTTTGTGCTCAATCGGGGGTTTCCTCATCGTAGCTTTGGATGATTTTTAATAGTTCTTAAGTGGATAATGCTTTTGAACTGAGTTGTCTTTTTTCTTGAACACTTTGAAGCTGCCTCCGCTTGGTATCTCTGATCAATTTTGCACATTTGAAAGATATATCTGTGAAAGGATCGATTTTTATGCCGTACTCCGTAAAATATTTTTTTGTGCCATTTTTGCTGTAGTATTTCACATTAACTTTACAGACGACTCTTTATAGTCTTCGCCATTGCCTTTTTTCATGTTAAAGGCATAATCCTCGAGAATTTGTGCTAGTTCCGTTATGCTAGTACATCTTTCAAGCGTAAAATTTTTTACCCATAGGAACTCCGAAAATTGTGTCCAAATAGAGCTTCTAGACCTCTGCGTGTTCAATAGGACATTTTCCGAAACCAATTGTTTGATTTCTTCACCTTACTGGCATCCAAATCTTGATTTTTGATCTTTTGGTCTATTATATCTGTCCAAAATTGAGTACGTCTCAATGACGTTGGTCAAACTGACAACAATAGAATTACCAGATACCTTCGTGACGGATCTGTCATAATTTTGTCGTTGAGAAATCACGGACAGAAAGGAGTTTTGTCAGTAGGAAACGTGGCGTTGCTATGACGTTTTATCAGTTAAAAATAGTCTAGTGAAATAGTCATTGTAAAAAACTAGTTTGTCGTTTAGTTCTATAGTCTGACAATAGTAAAATAACAATACCATACATAAACGGATTATCAGAAAAACCCTTGTAGGAATATATGATTAAGTATAAGTAAGCGTAGAAATTAAAAGAAGAATATACCTGGCGAACAGAGCTTACTTTGCACTAAAGTAGTTCTTAACATCACAAGCAGAAAAACCAAGATACTAATATATGAAACTCTTATTAAACCTGTTCTGACATCCACGTCAGAGACATGGACTATGGTAAAAAGTGACGAAGAACTGTTAGGTCGCTTTGAAAGAAGAATACTTAGGCACATATACGGAGGAGTACAAGAAAGCGGGATATGGCGCAAGCGCTACAATTTTGAGTTGTATCAATGCTATGAAAAATTCAATATCGTCCGGTCTATTAAAAATAACAGACTAAGGTGGCTAGGACACCTAGTCAATGATGACTCGAGGAATCTAGGGGTCAGAAATTGGAAAGCCAGGGCGAAAGATAGACGGGAATGGAGACTAATTCTTCAACAGACCAAGACCCACTCAGGGTTGTAGAGCCAAAGATGATGATGATGAGGAATGTATGATGGCTGGCTTACGTTTAGAATTGGCTGCTTATGTTTAGAACATATTGAGAGAGTCGTAAAATCACTGTTCGGGCAATTATTTCGTCTTATGTTTTTATATTGCGTGCATAATTTTTCGTTGAAACGGTCTCTTTAGTTTACATCTCAACCTGTAGCAGATTTTCCAGTATAGATGAAATCGGAGGCTCCACGACAGAAGCCAGACTTAACTAAATGTTTTTCAAGTTTGGATCATGTCTTTTTTTGAACGATCCGGATGTTGTTGATTTATCTCCTCGTTTCGCTTGATATATACCCACTATCCGATGTAAGGGATGCCTTTTTTCCATCATGGTGGAACCTTTAAATGTAGATGTGGTACAAATATACCACGTCGTTCTATTACGTTTTTTTTTATCCCCTTAGATAACGATTAATGCCCTACCCCTACATCGTAGCTGGTCCTTTCACTCTCACTGTGATTGTATATCACAACATTTTCTTCTTTCTCATTTTCTCAAAATTTTCACTTATAGCGGGAACTCCTTTGTCAACGCTAGAAGGTACACTTTTGTTGTAAGCTGTTCATAATTCTTTATAGATATATTTTGGTCTAACTTTTCCCTACGTTATGAAATTTTTGTTTTTCTATTAGTTTCCAGTAATAGGTTGCGTTTAGTAAGCTCAAGAACTTATTCCCGCGCATTTTCAGAATCTTTCCGTGTATTTGTATTTTATCGTTTCGTTTTAGATACAATGAACCTGGTTAAAATATTATCCTTTTTGTTTTTATGGTTTTTACGTTTCAAGTTCACTATATAAAACTTTACATTTCCATTCTAGCTTCTGCAGCTGCTTTCGTCTCTATTTGAGATAAAACTCTTATTATTGGCATTATATAATAAAATAATTAATTTGCTTTTAGTTCCTTAATATCCGTACCTAATTAATACATTGTTTCCGAGTCAGCATAAGAATATTTGTCAACTTTTCTATAAGACGGGGAAAATTTTCACCCAGAGGCGTGGAACTGTCTTTCTAAAATTGATAATGTAATGACTCTAATGGTAGTTCGTTATAAATTAATATTTAAAAAGGGTCAATTTTTGTAAATTCAAGGTCATACCAATTTTATTGATTATTTTTGTGTACTTCATGTAAGAATGATTATCATTGTTACGTATTAGTATGTTCCGTACATTTCTGAACTAACAGCCACGTAATAAATTCCAAAAATGTAAACTGAAGTTGTCTCTTCCAATTTGTTTTACTTTAAAATTTACTGACAGTCATGTTAATGATTGCTTAACTATTAGGTACATAAATCAATAAGCCTTACAAGATGGTACCAATAATAACAAATCGGTATGATTTAGAAGGTAAAAATCTTCAAATTTCGCTCATCAAAATGATCGCCTTAGTTAACAAGTATAGTGGTTTAAGTGACGCTATTTTTACAATTTTGTAAAACAATGAAAATTTTGAATATGGTGTTAGATAAATCAGATTTCTCCCCAGTGAAAAAAATACAGTTCCAACAAAGCAATCACTTGAGAAGTGTTATTCTGAGTCTCTTCTCGCAGAAATAATGATTAAGAGGTGGTATGCTGACTTAAGTGCGGTACAGACACGAATGATGCTGAATCAAAAAGACCACAAAATCGTTTTGTCTTATCATAAATTAAAAGCGTGTTAGGTATTAGAGGAGTTAAAGTTATCAGAAGACAGTGTATTCACCATTTTGCATGAACTTTTGCAACTGCTTCAGCGCAATAAAGAGAAGTTTTTGCGATAGTATGTGGCAATTTATCAAACGTGACCATGTATAAAAATCAAGTAACGATTATTATATTATACTATACTGGTGTGTTTTAAAGAAAAAAATGCGAAAAAACTGCCAAAAATCAAGAAAAGATTGCTCTTTCTCTTGTTTTGATGCTAAAAATAGTGGGAATTGCACTTTGAATTACTTTCGCATCCATCGTGATCTTGTTATCTGGCCTTCAGCAATTACCGGCTTTTTGAAAAGTTCTCTAGAATATCACAGGAAAAGAAATTTAGAGAAAAGTTCTTATTATGAACGAAAGTTATTATGAAAGCTGTATATAGTTTTATAAATAGACGTCGAATGGCAAGAATTAAAATAAATAATTAACCTAGGTATCTTGATGAATAAGATCGAATTTTACCTAGAATATTGACACTTACTCTATGAAGAAATATTTAGTCTAAAGATTATCTGCTATATTCACTTTAATTATTAGATTTTCAAACCTTCAAAAAGATTTGTATCAGTTGTTACTTTTCTCTGCTACTGATCTTTTACTTTGTCCATTGGTTTCTAGCGGTTTTCATCTTTATCAGTATCATACAAAATTTACGTAATTATGCCTTTATTAGTTTAAAAGAACTGAAGATATCTTAAATTGAGAAAACAATATATCTTTGTCGAACGCATTAATTGAACATTTTTCTTATTATCTTGAAAAATTAATTAGTTCCATAACACCTATAAACATATTCTTTGTTGTATTTTATATATTTTGTCTTTTGATTGATTTTTTGTTGATGGTCTATTATTTCAATTTCTTCCTCTACCAGTTTAGTATTATGCTCGCTGGATTTAAGTTTGTTTCTATATTCAGAACAAGTTATAGCGAATAAATGACAAAAGGCAGGGGTTGTTTAACTATCTCTATTCTTTGTATATTTTGTGTTTTTTAAATTATGGTTGCTTCTCATCCATATTGTTTATTTTTTGTTTTGACTTGTTGAAAAATATATATTACCAAAATACAAGTAGTTTTTATTACAAATTTTACTCACCCAAACAAGCGGTTTTTTGTGGCGTACTTTTGAATCCCCAATTATAGCTGGTCATTGCCTGAATCGCAAACATCCCTGGGATCATCGTGAAATTGTTGGGGTAGTGTCCGGCTTCCAACAGTAAAATTTTCCATCTGGAAATCTCTGAAAGTCTGCTTGCAATAACTGAACCAGTTGATCCAGCTCCGATGATGACGAAATCAAACGTCCCAAAGTCTAAAATATAAATTTGTTTCGTATATAAAACGACCTAATAATTAGTAACTTGTATAATTCATTAAGAAAGCATGCCTTAGATGGATAGTTCATATAATCAGCATTCTAAGACAGAATGTCTCCGGCTTCTATAGACAATGTAGCATCGCCTATTTTCAAAAAATTTTAAAGTGTTCGTCCTTGTGTAGTGTATTGTAATGTTCCATTTTATGTTTATGATATTTTGCTCTTATCGGATAGGCCGCAATTGACGAAATGCCCCTAAGATGATCTAGTGATCGAAAGTACTTGGGCAAGATTAAATTAATACTGTGTCGATATTTGCCTTTTATATTATCAAAGTTCATTTATTCGAGCATTCAACCTTATGTCAAGATAAAAATAAACCAATAATATGATCTGACCCGAAACTGTTACACCTGGCTCCCGAATATGTCACAAAACAACAATGCCAAAAAAAACCAATCTCCTACCAAATATTGCCTCGTATGCCGATGAAGTTATCATCATGTCTCACAGACCAGAGCAAAAATAAATATTAACCAAATTGGGGAAAATGGGTAGAGAACAATGTTGAAGTAGTAAAATTCTTCAAATATTTAGGGGTCATACTTAATAAACAAGAAACAGATGAAAGAGAAAGTAAATAAAACATAATAAACGGCAACAAATCGTGTTTCTCACTGGCTCATAGTCAATAAAACAGGCAATAATAAATACGTTTTATAAGAAAAATGTGGTATGTGGTGACAGAGCAGTAGAGGCATAGTTTTCTTATCATCTACTCACTGAGTGGTGGTTTTTAATTCAATTCGAGTCTATTACATTGGATTCCATTCGATTTCAGTTGTTTCGATTGGATTCCATTTGATTCTATTTAATTAAATTTATTTATTATTTTATTAATTATATTTATTTTATTGATTATATTTATTTATTGTATTTATTTTATTTGTTTTATTTATTTTTTATTTAGAAATAAAATATTTATTTATAAATTATTTTATTAAGAAATACGCATGGGACTGCGTTTACTACTCCACGTAGTGTGTGGTCGGCGATATTACGTTTCATTGCGTTTCCGTTACATTACGTGTCTTTTTTTTTATTTTTCCACAGCTCTCCGCGATTCATTGTATTGATCATAGTGCCCGCGATAACAAACCTATGCTTTAAACAATAATTCTAAAGAAGGTCTCTGGATCGATCAACGAAAGTGTGATGTGAAGATTTAGGCAGGACCATTACAATAGCCCAAGACTCAATTTTTAATTCCAAACAGTTTCTGGTGTATCTTCATCAAACATCGTCAATTATTATTTGTGACAGGTGAACATTACTTTTACTGCTAAACATTGAATTCATAATATAATCAATCATTCCACAATTCAATCAGAACAATAAAGATTGATTTTCTTTTTCCTTTAGAATAGGTCAGTCCCTGTTGTGTAAATAGAGCCGGGATTGCGATGCTGAAATAGACCGGTTATTGTAGCATATATTATGATAACTCTATTATGAATTAGAAAAGACTAACTGACATAATGAAGCCAAATTATTACTAGAGGGTAGATAATTTGCATATCTGTTAGTAAGGAAAGCTCTGTTTAATAAAGAAATTTAAATTTTTTCTTCCTAATATTAAATTATATTTAAATGGCGTGTTTTCGTTCAGCATTATACATATTTTGGCAACTCATTACTCGGTATTCTCGAGCCGGATCTGTCTTCAATTTCCCTTTATATCCAATTTAATCCCTCCTGTTAAAATTATATTATTCCCACATGCACCAGGATAAACGTACGTATGTTTTGATTGAAAATGATTGATTATAGGGAATTAATTTGACTAATTCTCAATCTAGAGGTAGGTCTGGATAAACAACTCGATTAATATTGAAAGAGAAAATAATAGATTGTTGTTCGACAACAAATTCGAATTAGAAATGGATTTTACAAAGCTCAATTAAGTCCTATTTCAATTTGTACGATAAGCCCTGAGGTCTAACAAGGTCGTATGAAGGATTAGGTCGGTAAACTGTTTTGATTTTTCATTAATACTTAGTATAGCATTTCTGGTGATCATTAGAAGTCCATTTTACAGATGGGAAAATACAACAAAACAATTAATGGTAGTAAACAAGTAAGGAATTAGTTATCAAAATAAAGCGCATATATTGGGTATACTCTCAACAGCTGTTATTAAACTGCAAATAAACTTGCTAGATGTTTTGTTTTTGTTCTGTTAACTCCTAAAAATCGAAAAAAACTTAATGTGTATATAAATCGGGAAGAGATGTTAGATAGACAGATACTATATCTCTAAAACTTTTTACCGTCGCAAGATGTGTGTTCGAGATTTTTAATTGAGAATAAGGCGAAATCAAAATCGATAATATTTGAGAACCATTTAGTACCTCAAACAAAAGACATCTCTAGGAGAATTGCATGGATTGGTCAGTAGTAGGAAGCTGAGCGTGGTTTGAATCCTACCACTAATGACCTATATGTAATGTCACAATACTTACACAACACTTAATTGCTTTATCAGCGTAAGGATAACAGAGGGGTCGACAGGGCTATAGCTATGTTAGGTAATCATGGTAGGAACATGAAAGACGGACAAGAGATATTGTTCATTGGAGACAATGAAACCAAAAATGTAGTAGAGGAAAGCCACAGAAATAGTGGCTGGATGACATCAAAGCAAGACTGGATAGACATTAGTAAAAAACAGCAGACAAGAAAATAATATAAGTAAAGAATTTAACGCTCAAAGATAGGCCTACATCCATAAATGGTTGAATACAGTCTGATAACAGTAGAACATAAGAAAAGTTAAATAATAATATATAAAAATAAAATCAACGAGAGTTTAATATTGAAGGCCCTTGCTTTTAGATAATAGCCCTTGTTTTTTATTCTTTAGACCTCCGTTTTTTATTTTATCTGTCTGATTTCCTTTGCGTTATTTTGTGATTTTCTCTAACTATTCGTATTCAGTTATTTGTTCTTAAGTGTTTTTGGGGTCTTTTTCAAAATCACAGAATACACATACATAGAAAACTACATATACAATATAAATTAAATAGGCCAACTAAGTTGTCAAAATTTTGCAAAATTCATTCTACATAAATTTTGATATGACAGCCAACAAAATATAACAGCAGAATGGGACATTTTTTGCACTTTCTTCGAAATAAACTGTTTGATAGTCGTGTTCGCTCGCATTCGAAAAAAATCATCTTCGCCTTCGCCCCTCCTGTAAATAGCTTCTTGTCGGGATCATCTACGGCTTCGGCACTTTATCAATTTTGTGACGAGGTGATCTGATCTCTTATATCGACAGGAAGAGGGATAATGTAGGATCGAAAAACGTGTGCCTGGAATGGATGAAGTTCTTTGTTGAATATCAGAAGATTGCGAAAGAAATTTATGAAAAAGTACGAATAAGTCGTGTTATAAGATTTCCATTAAAATTTTATTTAAGATTTCGAGTGCCAACGTTTTGTCAACATTTTTAAGTGGGCACATCTGCTGATGTGAAAAAGTGAGATTGGGTGTCAACAGAACACTTAATTGAAGGCAGAGCTAACATAAAAGCTGGAATTTTTATTTTTAAAACGAAAACCTGTTATTTGTGGGTTTTTAATTGGCGTAAAAATATTTTGGTTTTACGATATTGTCTATTAGTGTAACACTTTTGGTTCTTGTTTCTTTTTGTTTGTTTTTTTCCTGGACATGATATAATCGTCAAATCATATGTGATTTCCAATGGTATCAAATGGAATCTCTATTATACGAAATATATATATATATATATATATATATATATATATATATATATATATATATATATATATTCTTCTTGATGTGTCTATCCGTTACGAATGTTGCCGATCATCATGGCAATCTTTATCTTATCTGCAGCAGCGCGGAAAAGCTGCACAGATGTTGTATGGAACCAGATTCTGAGGTTCTTTAACCAAGATGTTCTTCTTCTTCCTGGATCTCGCTTTCCAAATATTTTTTCTTGCAGGATGGCTTGTAGGAGAGCATATCTGGATTCATTTGGCAATGTATGTCCGAAGAATTGTAACTTTCGAGATTTAATGGTGGTCAGTACCTCTCGGTTTTTATTCATTCTTCTAAGAACCTTCTCATTTGTGACTCGGTCAGCCCACGGGATCTTAAGTATTCTCCGATATAGCCACATCTCAAACGCTTCCAGTTTTTTGCACATATCTTCATTCAAGGTCCACGATTCAACACCATATAAAAGGACAGAGAAGACCCAGCATCGCAGCATTCTTACTTTTGTATCAAGAGAGAGGTTGTGACTCTTGAAGAAGGCCCCCATCCGATTGAAGGTGGTAGCTTTTGGGATGCGTGCTCTAATCTCCGGGTTGTTGGTCCATTCTTCATTTATTATGGTGCCGAGGTAGTTGTAGTGCATCACTCTACAGAAGATTGGTTGACGTAGAGTTGACCTTCTGTTATCCTTTATTGTTGACTGTAATACGTGATTTTGTTCCTAAGAACTTGTAGGTCTTCTAAGTTGTCCACAAATACTATGGTGTCATCTGCATATCCGATGTTGTTAAGCCGGTAACCATTTAGTAGAATACCTTTTTTCAGTTTCGTGCAAAGCTTCGATAAATATTCTTTCAGAATACAGATTGAAGATTAGAGGAGACAAAATACAGCCTTGCCTCACTCCACGCATGATTTTCACATAGTCAGTGTGTTCACCTTCAACTCTGAGATTTGCTGTCTGATTCCAGTAAAGATTTCTAATTATTTTTAGATCTTGGTTGTTAATTTCTGCTTCTTTTAGTATTTGCATCATCTTGGCGTGCTGTACTCGATCAAACGCTTTCTTGTAATCAACCAGACATACGTATACGTCGCAGTTGACGTCTCTGTATCTCTGGAATAAGACTTGTACTGAGAACAAAGCCTCTGTGAACCCGAACCGCATTTGTGAACCCGAACTGGTT